AACTTTACTTGTAGGAGTTCAAAGACGATATATTGTGTGAACGTAGCAACTCACTGTATGTTTTTATTTGACTGAGATGAGTTTAAATAACCATGTACAAACTACCAGATTAACAAGAAAATAACCTCTTAACAAATATTTAACCGCGGAACAAAATTTTACTGCGATATCTCAGCAACCTATTAAAACAAACTAACCAAATGACTACAGATTCATACTAAATTCGTAATTATTAAGATTATCTAACAAAACTCTCCCATAAGCTTAAATATTTCCTTCTTTCATCCCGAGTAACTTCCTTAACTCCTGAAATGTTGTTGTGGACAATGGTTTTGTAAAAATATCAGCTATTTGTTCTTTCTTCCTACATGTTCAAGCTCCACGGTTCCTTCTTTCACCTTCTCCCTGATGAAATGAAAACGGACATCGATGTGTTTACTCCTTTTGTGATTGATTGGATTCTTGGTTAACTCGATTGCCGACCTGTTATCTACTCGGATCAATACTTTCTCAGTTTTCATAAACTCCAGTTTGCTTAGCAAGTTTCTAAGCCAAACTGCATGTTGGACACTCCAAGATGCTGCTATATACTCGGCTTCACACGTTGATAGAGCCACAATTGGTTGTTTCTTTGATAACCACGTGAAAGACGTGTTTCCCATGAAGAATACGTACCCAGCTGTGCTTTTTCGATCATCCATATCTCCACACCAATCACTGTCCGAATATCCAGTAAGTCGATAGTTGTCTGACTTAGTGAAACACAGTCCAAATGACATCGTTCCCTTCACATACCTTAGTATCCTCTTTAATGCTTTCCAATGAGAATATCTCGGATCCTCCATAAAGGGACTTGTAATTCCCACACTTAGCATTATGTCAGGTCTTGTACTTGTCAAGTACCTTAGACTTTCGATTAGGCTTCGGTATCTGCTTGCATCAACTTTTTCTCCTTCTCCATTTTTAGATAACTTTGTTCCAGGTTCCATGGGAGTAGAAACTGGATTGCATTTCATCATCTTTGCCTTGCTTAAAATCTCCTCGGCATACCTCTTTTGGGACACAAAAATACCTGTCGTGCTTTGGTCCACCTCTAAACCCAAAAAATACTTCATAATGCCTAGATCGGTCATCTCAAACTCCCTCTTCATCACTTCTTTAAAATCTTCAACTAGCTCATCTTTACTTCCCATAAATATTAGGTCATCTACGTATAGAGCAATACATAAAGTATCTCCTTTATACTTTTTTAAATACAGAGCATGTTCATACGGACATTGCTCATAACCATTCCTTTTGAAATAGGTGTCTATTCTCTCATTCCAGGCTCGAGGAGCCTGCTTCAACCCATATAGTGCCTTCTTGAATGCAGACTTCACGTCCATCTGCTGTATCTTCCATTCGTGTTGTGCTGCTAATGAAAATAACAATCGGATTGTTTCCATCCTTGTTACGGGTGCAAAAACCTCATCATAGTCAATGCCTTTCTGCTGTCTGTAGCCCTTCACCACGAGTCGGGCTTTGTAACGCTCCACCTCCCCATTAGCATTGGTTTTCTTTTTATATATCCACTTCAAACCAATTGGCCGAGCTCTTGTGGGTAGATCTGTTAGCTCCCATGTTTCATTTTTCTCAATTGAGTTGATCTCCTCATCCATTGCTTTCTTCCATTTTTTATCGAGTATGGCCTCTTCAAATTTGACATCTTCTGCACCTGTCAATAGACACACTACATGTACCTCATCAGTGGAGTTATAGATGTCCTGCAAACTCCGAGTTTTGAGTTGTACAGGTTCATTGTCTTCCTCAGAATACTCGTTCGTCCTTTCAACTATGGTTTCTGGGTTCCTCTCAATTGTTACCGAGCTCTCTCTCTCAGAGACCGTGCTCCCAGAGGACTTCTCCTTCGAGTCATCCCAGCTCCATTCACTCTCTTCATCTACCTGGACATCTCGACTCACCAAAATTTTACCTGTAGCCGGATTATACAGTTTGTAGGCTTTTGCCTTCTCATCATACCCAATTAATACATACCTTTTGCTTTTGTCATCAAGTTTTGTTCTGAGCTGGGCTGGGATATGACCGTAAGCCAAGCTTCTGAAGACTTTGAAATGGTTTACACTCGGCTTTCGTCCACTCCATGCTTCTTGCGGTGTCACACCATCTAGCTTGGAATGCGGGCACCTATTTTGTATATATACAGCACATTGCACTGCCTCTGCCCAAAATTCCTTGGGCATGTTCTTTCCTTTAAGCATGGTTCGAACCATATCAAGGATGGTCCGATTCTTCCTTTCAACCACACTGTTCTGTTGTGGTGAATATGGAGCTGTGAGAAAACGTCTTATACCTTGCTCTTCACAATACTCCATGAATTTTGCTGATGTGAATTCTCCTCCTCTGTCAGATCGCACTGCTTTAATCTGTTTGTTAATCTCTTTCTCCACCATCAGTTTGAACTTCTTAAAAACCTCAAATGCTTTTGATTTTTCTTGTAAAAAATACACCCAAGTTTTCCGAGAGAAGTCGTCTATGAATAAAATAAAATATTTCTTACCACTAAATGAACTAGGAGAAATTGGTCCACACAAGTCGGTGTGTATTAGGTCGAGTTGCTCTTCTATCCTGTACCTGGTCAAATTCGGAAAACTAGTCCTCGGGTGTTTTCCAAGCACACACTCTTCACAAAACTTCTTTTCAAACTCTACGCCATGTAGTCCAAGTACTAGTTCCTTCCTTGACAGTTCGGCCAGACCTCCAAAATTTAAGTGCCCAAATCGAAAATGCCACATCATTGCTTCATCCTTCACATCCAACTTCAAACACCTTTTCTGCAGGATGTTCAGCTCTAGTTTATACATTCGATTTTTCTTCATTTCTACCTGGGCTACTAACCGATCATGCTTGTCTTTCAAATAGAGTACTTAATCCTTCATCAGAACCGAGTTGCCTTTCTCTATCATCTGTCCCATGCTTAATATGTTGCTCTTAAGCTCGGGAACATAGTAGACATCCCTTATTTCTCCAACTCGTCCATCTTTCTGCATATGCTTGATGGTTCCACGCCCTTTTACAGCCACCTTGGAATCATCCCCAAATGACACGAATCCAGCATTCACCTTAGTGAGTTCATTAAAGAAACTCTCTCCCCAAATACCAGACTGAGTTGTTTAAGCAACCCGAATCAAGCTTGGACTTTAACTTCTCATCAGACTTTTCCACGCAACTTAAGTTTAGTTCAACCTTGGAGGCATAACTCGGACGTAGCTTGATCTCCGAGCTCTGCGTCATCATCAAAATTCCTACTTCCTCGTCCTCTTCTTCTGTGAGAAGGTTCTTCTCTTTCTTTTCACCTTGGCTTTCAGCTCGACAATACTTTGCTATGTGACCGTATTTGCCACAGTTGTAGCAATTTGCCGATCTGCATTCCTTTGCGTAGTGGCCGTGCTTGCCACACTTATAGCATTCCACCTCCGACTTTGGTTGACTTCCTTGGCTATGATTACCTCGTCCTTGTCTACCTTCATGATTACCTCATTCTCCATTATCACTTCGACCACGTCCACCTCGTCCTTGATTACCTCGGCCACGTCCACCTCGTCCTTGATTACCTCGGCCACGTCCACCTCGCCTTTGATTACCTCGTCCTTGGCCTTCGGATCCTTGGCCCTGAGTGTTCCGAGTTCCATTCGAATCAAGTTTCGCTTGTAGTGCTTGAACAAGAGTATCCTCCTTCTTCCTCCTCCTCTGTTCGTGGGCCTCGAGTGACCCAGTGAGCTCTTCAACTGAGAGAATTGACAAGTCCTTTGACTCCTCAATTGCGCATGCAATACTCTCGAAATCATCTATTAATGATCTCAAGATTTTCTCCACAATCCTATTTGCTGGCATTGGTTCCCCATTCCTTCCGAGTTGGTTAGCCACCTTCTCCACCCGAGTTATATATTCAGATACTTGCTCCTTATCTTCCATCTTCAAACATTCAAACTCTCCTCGGAGAGTTTGAAGTCGGATCTGTCTGACACGGTGGTTACCTCTGTGCGCAACCTCCAAAATCTCCCATGCTTCCTTTGAAGACGTAGCGTTTGCAATCTTCTCGAAACCCGATTCATCCACAGCATTGTACAAAAAATACAAAGCTGATTTATCCTTCACTCGTGTCTTTTCCAATTTGGCAATCTGAGCCACAGATTGGTCTTCGTCCTCCTCGGGTTCTCGGAACCCCTTTTCTACTATGTCCCATAGACTTTGGGAACCCAACAGAGTCTTCATCTGTAAACACCAATTATCATAATTGGTTTTCTTTGACAGTTGTGGTACGGTCATTCCATTAACTACCTTCGCCATTACTCTCTCTCCTTTTTTTTTTAAACGCACACAGGCGCACTCTGTTTTTCCTCTCACACTCAGTACTCAGAGCATAAAGCTCTGATACCACTTTGTAGGAGTTCAAAGACGATATATTGTGTGAACGTAGCAACTCACTGTATGTTTTTATTTGACTGAGATGAGTTTAAATAACCATGTACAAAGTACCAGATTAACAAGAAAATAACCTCTTAACAAATATCTAACCGCGGAACAAAATTTTACTGCGATATCTCAGCAACCTATTAAAACAAACTAACCAAATGACTACAGATTCATACTAAATTCGTAATTATTAAGATTATCTAACATTACTGACCGTGCTTTCTAAATTCTCCTTTCCCTAGATAACTTTATCATCGTTGCAATGCACTGTCATCATTTACTTTTTCTAGAACCAGTGTTTTTCCAGTGTAAACATTTCCTGTTTATATTGGTAACTAATTATAAGTTAAATATTGCAGAGTGGCAAGTCATCAGCTGTATATGCTTGTGCCAAAGAGCAAGGGTTTAGTATTTTAGAGGTATCACAGTTTATGAATATATTTTTTAAATTTATGCTTATAAATTAATATACTTTGTAGTAATAATATTCATCGATTGACCCCATGGTATTGTAAATAGCCACCTTAAAATTTTATAAGCATTACTGAAGATCAAGTACAGTGATTGTTTAGCCGGATTTAAATATAGCCTCTGTCTTCCCTGAAATTTGAATTTTTGGTCTTTCCTGTTTAATGGGAAAATTGATTAGGTGAAAGATTGCTATTTTTGGTTTAAAAAATTGAGAAATTATGGTAGAAACACTTACTCGTATGCCCAGTTGCTAATCTGGGCTTTTCATACAAAGTTCTTGAGAAACAAATGTGCCCAATATATTTATTCCCCTCAAACATCTATCAACATTATGTTTTCTATTAAAACATCTACTAGTTGTCAAAACATTTATTCTTCTTGTCATATATCTTTCTTTTCAACCATGAATATGGCCAAACTTAATTATTGTTCATGTTATCTAAACAGCTCAATTCATCACATTCTAGAAATGGGACTGCTATCAGGAACTTGGAAGAACCTCTTACTTCAATTGGGTTCCATAGGTTTGCTAACTTGTTCTATCAATGCTAGCTAATAACTTCCAATCTTCTGTGGCTGAGTAATTTTAACTAACTGTAATGGTCTTGCATTTACTTTCACTTTCCTGCAATATTTTGTTGGATTACTTGAGTGTTATATTTTTTTGAGGGGCAACTCAAATTTCTCAGGAAATCAAAGGTCTTTTGAACATGGAAGTGTATATTCCCTTGTTTGACTTTTATATAATAAACAATACTTTATGCCAGATTGCAGGAAGCAATCTATCTTAAGTTGGAGATTCAAGAGTATAGTAATGTGATTATCCAATGGGTGAGAGCCAGAATAAAATTTTGATCTTAAAAAGGTCTTTTTATAACTTCCTTGTTGTAAGCTAACTCAAACTAATCTTCATGTTTGGCACTATGAGAATCCAAAACAATTCTTGAAGACGTGTAGTTTTTGCTTCTTTCTTCAAACACTGGTCATTTGTTGCTTTTATTTGCATCAACTGGGTCCTTCCCTTCTTCAATCCTCCGAGACAAGCTAAAATGTCTAGGTCTAAGTAGAGTATAATTAAAGTTCACTGTTGCATGATGTGCCTTGATTCAATTGTATTGAGTAAAACCAAGTTACTCCATAAAAGTAGCTTATATAGACTTGTTTTGTGATAATATATTATTTGATGTGTATATATTTCAGGCAATCACAAAACAAGGCGAGTTCACAGAAGAACTCTAAAAATTTGCCCCCATCTCCAACTCTGTTCAATGGTGGATCATCATTGAAGTTACTAGGTGAAAATAATGAGTCTGAAAAGTATAAATTCCATCCTCTAGTCCTAGTTGAGGATGTGGACATCCTTTACGCCGAAGATCGTGGATGTATAGCTGCCATACAACAGATTGTTGAGACTTCAAAGGGGCCAATTATATTGACCAGTAATAGTAAGATGACTAGTTAGAATGATGAATTTTTGCTTAACTTAGATTTTATTGGATGTTCATATTAATGGAGACATATTGTTGTAATAGGTGATAATCTGGGTCTGCCACATAAGTTTGATAGGTTCCATGTTCCATTCGTGTTGCCATCGCCAAAGGAGTTGCTTTCCCATCTGTATACTGTATGTTTTTTCAGTTTATGTTTTCAAGTAGTAAAATAAATTGTCCAAACGTATATTAATATTATATGAATTACCTGCAGGTTTGTCTCACTGAAGGAGTCAACATTCATCCTCTTTTAGTGGAGAAGTTTATACATTCTTGTGGTGGAGATATCCGAAAATCCATTATGCATCTTCAGTTCTGGTTTCAGAGTAAAACATTTCAAAAAGGTATATCTCACAGAATTTGGTTCATTTCTGTGTTTCTAGACCATAATAATGTATTAGTGGTAATTTGTAGCATGTACATGTCAAATCAAAGCCAATATTTTGCTGTATACATTTATTGACTATCGAATTACATATAAGAGGTACGAGTGGCAGCAAGGGTAAAAAGAACTAGGAAAAGCAGTGAAATTAATTGAATCACTATTTATTCCAAAAACATTACTTTTGTTTCATCATGCACATTCATTATCCCACATTTTCATCTTGATCTTTCTTTTAACCGTTGGGAAAGTTGCTTTTTAGTTTCTACATGAATTAAAAGTGTTTAGGAAGTGATTATGAAAAGTGTGGAGTGTTTAAGAAAGTAGTTTGTTTTACTCATCTAATTTTTTAGCACAATAACCTGTTTGTTTTTAATTGAGCGAATACCACAAACACACACACACACAAACATAAACACAAACAATTACAAACATAAACACATACAAAATCATACAAACACAAACACAAGGTTAAACACAAACGCAAAAAAAAAACACAAACAAAAATAAAAACACAAACACAAAAACAAACACAAAAGAAAACGCAAACAAAAAAGCAAACGCAAACACAATACGATGACAGTGAAAGTATAGACACATTAATAATTATTGGTAGAATAGGATTATACCTGCATTATTTTTGGATCAACTGATAATTCCTTGTGTGAAGAATTTGCTAAGATAATGCAGGGTGAATTTGAAAAGTCAATGATGGGAGAATTAACATTCTTTCTTGGACTTCAAATTAAGCAACTTAAAGATGGCACCTTTGTATCTCAAACCAAATACTGCAAAGAGATTCTCAAGAAATTTGGAATGGACAGTTCAAAGGAAGCTAACACACCCATGGGAACATCATGCTATTTGGATAAAGATGAATTAGGTTTGGAAATTAATCAATCAATGTATAGAGGTATGATAGGTTCTCTATTATACTTAACTGCAAGTAGACCTGATATTATACATTATATTTGTGTGTGTGCTAGATTTCAAGCATGTCCAAAAGAATCTCATTTAACCGCAGTAAAACGAATTTTAAAATATTTAAAAGGAACTACAGGATTTGGATTATGGTATCCATCTGAAGCTTCTCCTAGTTTAATAGGTTATTCTGATGTTAATTATGGCGGATGTAAAATAGATAGAAAGAGTACTAGTGGAATATTTCATGTGTTAGGATCATCCTTAGTGTCTTGGCATTCTAAGAAACAAGCATGTGTTGCTTTCTCCACAACTGAAGCTGAATATATTGCAGCTGGTAATTGTTGTGCTCAAATCTTATGGATGAAGCAACAATTAGAAGATTTTAGTATCTTTCTAAGTAATATTCCATTAATGTGTGATAATACAAGTGCTATCAATCTCACAAAGTATCCTGTTATGCATTCTAGAACTAAACATATTGAGATTAGGCATCACTTTTTAAGAGATCATATATCTAAAGGAAATTGTCAAATTGAATATATAGAAACTGTAGACCCTAAATCTTGCCCGGCCTAAAAATAAGAGCAGAAGACCTCCTATTCGAAGATGGACGAAGCCTAAAAAGTCACTAGGAGAGACTATTAGGCCCCATGTTAGAGTAGGAAGGATTTTCTATACAAAAATAAGAATTTTCACCTTCAGGAGTCGAGACCATCGTCTCGTTTGGCGAGATGGTCGTCTCGCCACTTGCCAATGGCGAGACCCCCCTCCCGTTTGGCGAGAAGGCCTTCTCGTCACTTGAAAAGTCGATAACGCCGTCTCGCCAAACGAGATGGCGGTCTCGCCACTTTTTCAAGTCGAGACCGCCGTCCCGAATGGCGAGACGGTCGTCTCGACCTTGCTAGTCGAGATTGTCGTCTCGACCTGACAGGCGCGAATCCCTATAAATAGTGAGCGCTCCCTCCCTCATTTCACACGGTTCTTCCACTTTTCCTTCTACACTTTCTTCAAATTCTCGTCCTAGAATCTCTCTGAAGCATTTCTGGAGTTTCTGAGTGTTTTAGAGAGTTTTTTATAGCGTTTCGAGAGCGATTTTTGGTGTTGGAGGGACAGAGACAAGAAAGATGGGGATGCTACTTCTAGTAGTTCCACACCTATTCCTTCAAAGTCTCAAGAACAACTCTCTAAAAGAATTAGATATGTGAAGTGTTTCAAGTGTCAAGGCCTAAGACACTATGCTTATGAGTGCCCTAACAAAAGGTCCATGGTTCTTACAGAGGGAGAATATATAAGTGAATTTGAGGTTGAAGAGGAAGAGGAGAGTGAGGACATTGAGGAGGAGGAGACTCTAAAGGGAGATTTATTGATGATTAGATTATTACTTGGTAGCCATTTGAAGCCTATGGAAAAAGGTCAAAGCACTACAAAAAAAAAGCCTATTACCTACGGCAAAAATCCGTAGGTAATGGCAAAAATCCGTAGGTAATGTCATTTTACCTACGGATTTTTTCCATAGAAAATCCGTAGGTAATATGGTCGTAGGTAATTACCTACGGAATTACTATCCATAGGTAATGTCGTCCGTGGGTAATTACCTACGGATTCGTTCGTGGGTAATTAACTACGGATTGTAATCAGTAGGTAATTACCTACGGATTACAATCCGTAGGTAATTACCCACGAACGAATCCGTAGGTAATTACCTACGGATTGCAATCCGTAGATAATTACCCACGAACAGAATCCGTAGGTAATTACCTATGGATTGCAATCCGTAGGTAATTACCCACGAACAGAATCCGTACGTAATTACCTACGGATTGTAATCCGTAGGTAATTACATCATTCAAAATCTGTAGGTAAATCCGTAGGAAAATCACTAGGTAAATTTATACAATTTTATCACCACCAATTTAACTAAATTTTACCTGTTACATGCATATTACACATAAAATATTTAGATATCAAATTTAACAATATTCCATAATATTTATATGCACCAAATGCATATTCAGATATCAAACACAAATCCTAATATTAGCATGCATCAAGTAGTCCTTGAAATATCTAAGAACATACAAATCCAAAGAAGTACTATAATAAATATTATGACAATATTGTTTGAGTGTCCTAATAATTATAGTAATGTCCTTGTTCATCTTGAGGCTGCTCTTGCTGCTCCTGTTGTGATTGTTGTTGTGATCCTTGTTGGGAATGTTGTTGTTGAAATGCTTGTCGGGCATCAGGTGGAAGTAAAGGAAGGACAACACTGACAAGTGTTTGTAATTGGTGGTTCAATCTTTCATTATCCTCCCTATAACTAAGCACTTGTTTCTTTAATTGTGTAATCTCACGAGAATCAGTAGATGCTGAATATGAGAGGGTATCTCCAGGCCTAAACTTATGGGCAAGTTCTCCAACACCGTAGATCCGTGTTGCGATTTGCATAAAATTGATCCATGTTCTACAAAATGTGAACTTTAATGTTACACTAATTAAAGTACAAAATTAGAAAGGATTTTGACAAGTGTTTGGTAATGACCAATATAATAACTTGAAGGCTATTCCATGTAGGACTCATGTAAACCTCTTAGCCAATAAGGTTAGAATAACTAAATAACTAATCTCATCTTGATAATATATGAAGATACAAAACTAACAATATTCATCATAAATTGATATTCATCAATTATAATACAAAATATTCATCAATTTTAAATGATGATTGGTAATATGTATCTTGAATCAATGCAAACAAATTGAACAAAATAATCAAACAACTCAATCCTTCGACTAACCATGTTACATGTTACATTTATTGCCCCCAATCCTCACTGAATACAAGGCATCCATAGCCAGCTAATCAATCAGTATTTAAAATTCAATATAGAAAAGTCAAAGGTAATTACTTACCTACTAACAAAGATCTTCAAATTGGATGAGGAGTCACTTCCTTCCCTTTATCCTTCTATCTTTTATGAAGCTTCCCCCTATGAAAAATTGTCCCGGTAAAATTTCATTGTACATGCTTAATGTTCTAACAAATAACATGGGGATTAACTGTGTTCACATATATGATGTAATATTTTTACAAACAGAATCTACTTACTCATCAATAATTAAGTCAGAATGACACAGAACTAAATGCATGGGTCAATTAATCTAAGCATAACAAGAATATGGAGGAGAGGGGCCATGGAGGCATGTTAAGTAGCATGATTTGTTCACAAGCACACATGGAAACAATTACATTCATCAGTTAAACAACCATATCCATAAAAAATATTTTATCAACTTACAGATACGCTAAAGAAATTCAAAATATCCAACAAACTGATAAAGTTGAGTTTAGTTAAATTTGACTCCAATCACCCACCAGAGTTGAAGGCATATCAGGGTATTCATGAGTATCCACTTCCCTTCCCTTTATTTTCTAACTTATGACCTAATCTTCCATTTTTGATGTTATAATGAACATTTTTGTAAATCGCTCTAGAAGGATCCAAGCTGGACCTAAATTTGTCAAATATGCTCATAAGTTTTTTGGGGTCATGATTATGAAGCATTTGTAAGGTGGAAACACATTCTTAACTCACCCACCAAGAAACTAAGCCACAGAGACATGAACCAAGCCAATAGGACTTGGATAACACCGAGTCTCAACCTCATCAAGTGAAAACCACAGATTCAAGTCAAACTAAACGAAATAACGGTACAAAAATCCTTAATAAACCAAGATCTTATTCAACTAACAGAGCCACCAATTCAATGATTCATATGCAAATAAACCAGACCGGGCTTAATAGTTAACTACAGCGAACGGTTCGAGACTCCAAAAAATGTGAAAGAAATAGGATTAAAGCATAATACCGGGCTTAACTCGCTGCCTCTATATCTCACATCTAGCTCACAGCGAGCTCGGTGGCACAATGGGGGTGGGCTGGAGCGAGGAGAGGCGGTGACCGCAGCCGGCGTCGAGGTGACTCAAGTTCCGGGCTGCGGGGATACTGCGCGACGGGGGTGTGGTGGCGTCCGACTCGGAGGTTGATTTGCGGCTGGGTTCGCGGTGGCCGGCTATGGGCAGTGAGATGTGGTGGTTCCGATGAGGGTGATTGGGCGAGAATCTGGAGGCTGAAAGCTAAGATGTGGTGCGACTGCGGGGTGGTTCTGCGTTGGTGAGAAGCTTTGGTGAGTGAAGGT